GCGATCTTGCAAAAATTTTTCACCAATGAAATAATTTCACGACAATCCATTAGATCTATTATCATGGATTCAAAACTAAGAAATTTCTCCGTCGAAAAGAGGAGATAAACCTTGTCTTTCAAAGGAGGTAAAAAAACATTTATCTTTCGAAGGAGATCGGAAACCCTTTCTTTCAAGAGAGAAAATTTCCTTTTCAAAAGAGGAAGCATTATTATAAACCTAAAAGAACAAAAAAGAAGTGAAATAAGAATTGGGGCTTTCCACCGGTTAAAATCGATAGAAGCGTCTCCAAAAATAACAATGGAGGCTAGGGTTTAGAAGAGAGGAATGAGGAGAGGGGAGAGAGGAAATTATAAGCTACATTAACTTGTTTAAATCTCACATTATATAATATATTAATCTCGTATGATCTCTATTATAAAACAATTACTCTTATTTTAACGTACATAATAACCTTTATTTTGACACAATGACCTTTTTATTAATATGTTTACTTTTTAGCAACATTTAAATATAGGACCCTAATATAAGTGGTCGATAATAAATTAATGTAAACCAGATTCAAGAGTTTTATTCCACTTTTCAGTCCTCCACCAACATAAAAAAATTCTACCTCTTTATATGTAAACTTTTAATTCTCATTATAATTATAAATTGATGAATAGACTCATTTGTAAGAAGAAAATTAAGGGGACAATTCATATATGGCTATGTTCTACTCACTTCAATTTAACTTATTAAAAAAAAAAAAAAAAGACAGATTTAAGAAATTCAAATAAAATAAAATAAGGGCTAAAAAGTTTAGATAATATAAAATAATAGGGGTTGAATACTTGAATGGTTAATAAATAAGGTCTAATAACACCATATAAATCATAATTAAGGGTGTGTTATATTTATCTAATTTTCACTTATTTAAACTTAGTTGAACTCATTAGAACTTATTCCCTCCGTCCCATACTAACTGATGTGTTGGACTTTTTTTTTTCGCTATTCATATATTAACTTTAACTTTAGCTTTTTATTAACTTAATGACAACATATTTTATCATAGAATATGTTGTTCGATAGGTATTGGTATAAAGTTTCATAATATATATTTATAATTTTCATTCATATTTACTTATGTGAAAATAAGGTCAAATTAGTGCACCTGCATGTGTGCAAAATTTGAATGTGTACTTATTTTGGATCAGAGCTTAGGGAGTATTAATACCTATTTTAGTTGTATTTTGAACTTGATTAACCCTTATCAGAACTTATTTTTTCTGAACTGAACGTAACCGAATATATTTGAACTTTAAATTGAATTTATTAAACTTGAAATAAGTGAAAATAAGGTGAACAAAATAGACCCTTATTTTATGTTTATAATGGTTTATTTACAACTGTAACCATGTATATATAAAAATTATTTAAAATTTAATAATTTACATTAGACAAATCTAACAAAGTCCTATTTACTATTTTTTTAATTTCTTTTAAATGTAATAAGGTTAAAAATATTTTTAATTTAAACCACATATATAGTAGATGAATAAAACTTTTCGAAATGATGGAACTATGAAAGTATATAAAATCAGTTAACATAAAAATACGTAAGTAAATAACGTAAGACCGACCATAATTAATTGAGATTATTCTTATACCAATTACCAATATCTTGTAATCGATATATGTCGTACATTAATCAATCAATAACTTAATACTAAAACAAACACCGGGAGTGACATGTGTCACATTCTGGTGCAAAACTCCCCCTCCCCTTTTAGCAAAAAATATTTTATTTTTGAAATATTTTTATAATAAAACTATAATAATATTATTCCAAACTTATATATTATCTCTATATAAAATGTATTCCTTTTTATTGTGTTCTAAACTTTTCCATGACATTTACCTAAAATAGTTTTCCAACTCTTTTTTAATTATCTTTTAAACGAGCATTATTGAGTTTTACCGAAAAAGTAAAAATAAAATTGATTCATATCGAAGTAATTGATATCAAAGATATTACTTTAAAATATCACTTTAAATGTTGTGTTCGACAGCTATATTATATGTCTAATTTGAAAATGTAAAATATCAATCAATTTTTTGTTATTACATTATTAAAAAAACAGTTAATATCTTAGTAAATACAAAAAAGTTATTATCTTTTGCTGAAACACTTTATTGCGATAATTTTATCACATTCGACATTCATAAATAAGCTACATTTTAAAAAACACGTCGGACATGGTGACAAGTGACATATTCTTTTTTTTTTTTTTGGATAAATAGCTATCATCGACAAATAAAATTTTAAGGCAATAAACAAACAATGATCAAACTAGAATTATTGGATAACTTTCAATCAAACACGTTTTTATATAATAACAAAGAGCGACGATATCATGTAGAGCATCAATTCATAACATAAAATGTACTACTAATAATATAGGTTAGTGTTGCCTAATTATTGATTGTTATTGCCTTTAATGATCTAAGTAGTATTTATTTTCATTGAAATTATTTTATTGGATATAAAGATGATATAGTATTTAATTTGTAATTTATATATTTACATGTATGTTGTGCCAATAGTTTTACTGTAGATTTTAGTCTGTTGTTTGATTAATGTTTTGATGTTTATGAAAAGACATTTATAAATAAATCTTTAGTCATATAGTCACTAGATGTGTATAGTTTTATTGGGAATAATATGCATTATTAATGTAATATAATGTATACTACTTTTAAATATTTTCAACTCAACTAATCAACAATAATTTTTTTTTTTATTTCTCAATTGTAGTTTTAATGAAATTTGCCTTATTATTTTATTTTTCTATATACATTGCATTTGTTTATTCCACATGAGTTACCTCATTTTTATATTATATCAGAATTCATTATGAGAAAAAGATTATTACTACCGTGCATCGCACTAGCATTAATCTAGTAGTCAAATTAAAATTAATAGGAATAGTATCATCACTCATGTAGTCATGTTGATTAAGGAATAAAATATATTTGATGTTCTTATCAAATAGTTGAAATTATGCCCAATAAAAAAGAATATTATGGAGGGTGGGGTTGATAATTATTCTTCAATTCTCTCAAAACTCAAAAGATAGTGCCGTACTTATAAACGACCTTTCTTAGGTACAAACCTCACTCAAATAGAAATTTATAATTTATTTTCAGTTGTTATTGAGGGGAGGTTGGTCCTAAATTTAGTGAGAAAGTGACAATTAAAAGAGATTGAAGCTACTCATACTAGAAAACTTTATTACGACTATTTTATTTTAAAATATAAATAAAGGAAGTGAAATATATGGGAAAATAAAGTAGTGGGTGGTGTGGTGGAAGATAGTCAAAATTTGGTGGTACATCAAAGAGTACAATGTCTTTTGGTGGGGAAGGTTGTAACTAGTCCAAATTCTAATCACTACTAACAATACCTTAATCTTCAATAAAGTACTTCTATGATGATACTCGTGAGTATCATCATAATTCTTTGAATTTTATAGAACTTTTCAAGATTTGCTAAATCATCATCACTGTTGTAGTTTATTTTGTACAATGGATGAAGACTAACTGTACAGACTACGGAGTACTACTTTTTTTTTTTTTTTTTTTTATTACTACGTGTCAAAACTATCAATACTCAATACTCCGTAAAAGTTATAGTTAAGTGATCAAATAGCTAGGGATTTTTTCCTAATATAGACAAGATTCGATCCTGATTCTTGAGTATGTCTTCCAAATTTGACAAGGTCAATATGATTGGAAATTTTTTTTTAGTTGAGCAATTAAGGGAGAGCAAATACTCTATAATATTTATTTCGTGAAGTAGGGAGAGGAAATCATGAATCAACGGTGCACCAACTAATAGAATCCCAATAACATGTGATCAATTATATAGGAAGCCAAGGAAGGTGAAGATTAATTAGGGATATGGAGATCGTTAAGTAAGTTGTAGTATTACTTCAACTAACCAACTTTGACAAATATATAGACAAATTCAATCAACATCTTACGATGAATATCTCTCAGCAAGATACTCTCATTTCTCCCAAAATATAGTGCCCCCATTCCTACAATTTTTCGACTCTAAAGCCCTTTTCACTTTATCTTATATTTGTTAAACTGAAATTATTTTTACTGAATTGAAATTATTTTTGCTGAACTTAAATTAATTTTACTGAACTGAAATTATTTTTGCTGAACTGAAATTATTTTTAGTGATTCTCTATTATATTTATTTTTTAAAATTACTGATTTTGACTGAACTGAAATTATTTTTACTAAACTGAACCTATTTTTATTAAACTGAATTTTTTTTTGCTAAATTGAAATTATTTTTGCTGAATATTGTTGTTTTAAGGTGAAGTGGACAAGGCCTAATTACCATACCACTGAGGGGCACGCACATGCTAAGAAAACAAATTTAACTATTTGCTCAATACAATATGCGAGAAGGTCATGAAGCAATCTTTAATGGAAAGAGCGAGTAACTGTAAGCAGGGGAGTCCAAAAATCAATTTGCAATAGAAAAATGTACCACATCAATGTGATTTATTTATCTGATTCATCAAATCTAATCTCATATGAAATTATAGAATTTATCTCAGTTGTAAATAGAAATTTAAAAAAATGATTTATTTTAAGATCTACTCCGTATTATATTATATAGAATTCTAGGATGATCACAATTTATGGGCTTTAGTGGGTATTAAAAATAAAAAAATAAAAATAAAAATAAAAAAAACCTAACAAAATAAAAGGGAGAGAAAGAAGAAGAGGCAGCTAGGGTTTTTATTGCTAGTTGTAACTTATCTTCTATTCCAAAAGAATAAAAAAAAAAAGGTGGTCTTATTTTCAAATTCAAACCAAAAATCATTCCCCAAAATCTTCAAAACCCTATTTCCCAAATTTAAAAAAAAAAAAAAATCATTCCCAAAAATCTTGAAAACCCTAACCTTCAATTTTCCCCTTCAACAATACACAAAGAAATGGCGCATCATCCTAGTAGTACAAGAAACAAAAATACAATCACTCCTTCAAGAAATAATATTGTAATTCATGAACTCAAAGACGAAGATAATGATTGTATTTTTGTGAAGGAGGTGACAAATTCTATGTCTAAGTCCAAGGGAAAGCAGAAGATAATAGAACCTAAACAAGAGAGCAAGTACTTTGAATCCACAAATTTCCGCAAAAATATTTCAATTGTGAATGTTGATGACGACGAATACGACGATGACGTTACTATCATTAACGTGACACCGAGACCTTCCTCTAGGCCATTGTCGCCGTCGTGCTCGTCTTCAAAGAGAAGGAGATCATATATTAGCTGCCCTACGGTTGTTGAAGTAGGCGAATCATCCTCGTCGAAAAAGTCTAAGGAAAAGAATGATGAAATGTACGCTAAAATTTGTGAGATAAAGGAAGTAGCGTTTGTTTGTGACATATGTGCGGACTCAAAACCTCAACAAGAGTCGTTTTGGATAAAGGGATGTTCTCATTACTATTGTGTCGATTGTATGAGAAATTATGTCGATTCCAAGCTCGAGGGCGGTGTTTCTCAAATCGATTGCCCGGTCCCTAAATGCTCTGGAACATTAAATCCGGAGCATTGTAGGGAGATTTGATCAAGTGAGACTTTTTTTAAGTGGGGTAGACTTTTGTGCGAGTCAACCATAATTGCCTCGGAAAAGTATTATTGCCCATTTAAGGATTGCTCGGCATTGTTGATTGATGATGGGAGTGAGAAGGTGACTAGATCGGAATGCCCTAGTTGCTATCGATTGTTTTGTGCTCAATGTAGGGTTGGATGGCATGAGGGGATCGAGTGTGCCGAGTTTCAAACTTTGAATAAGGATGAACGAGAGGCGGAGGGTAGGATGTTGATGAATCTAGCTAAGAGTAAAAATTGGAAAAGGTGTCCCGCGTGTAAAATATATGTGGAGAAGATATTCGGTTGCAATATTATGCATTGCAGGTAATTGATTCGCGCCTTAATGAGTTTTTTGAGAATATTAATACTTTATAAATTGTGACAGTATGCATTGAAAATCATGGATAATATATACTTCGTACATATAAGACATATGTCTTTTATAATACTTCAATTCATATATACAACGAATGTGCTTTATAAAGTATGTGTGTATAGAGCTCAATCATGTTCCAAATTTAGGTCATCTCCAATCGCATATAGTGATCGTTCTTTACAAGTGTGCAATACATTGATTTTAATCAATTCAATTTACTATTTGTTGACAATTGGGGCACAAAGTTAAAGGGCAAATGATCTCTTAACATATTGTTTTTTGGTCTATTTGTGATTATAGGTGTGGAACAATTTTTAGATACTGTAGTTGTGGACAACTGTGGTGTATTTGCTAGAACAAACCTGCGGCCGGGCTCCGTAGACATCTACCAAATGCTACACTACGTGTCTCTGGACAGCAACTAAATAATGCACCACGACGTCCCTCGGCCGGGCTCCGTAGACTACAAGCAAATGCTAGACTACGTGTCTCTGGACAGCAACTGTATAATGCACCACGTCGCAAGTCACTCTTCTCGGCTCCATGGAAAACATTGTAACCTATGAAAACTTACAAGGGATGGAAGAAAATTGATTCTTTAATACTTAATTACGCAATATTTTATTTCATTTTTGGTAGCATTACATATCTGTATTGGCAACCAATGTGTTCTGGACGAAAGGATAATTTGTAGAGTATTCTTATAATTAAGTTAATACTCGAAACAAAACTCATCTTTGGATTTTATTCTAAGGTTTCATATTTGGTCAGGTTTGATCCAATCTCAAACTTTGCCTTTGAACCTTATATGAATTGAATACAAACAATGTTTGACACCATATACTTTCACTATCTTTAATATGGTACCCCCAACTTCTAGTTTTTTAGTCTTCTCTCTCGTCCAAGCCCTAGTCTTATACTCCAATTCTATTTTGAGAAAAATTGTCTCCATTTTTAGTACTACGTATGAAAAAGTTTTGGTCATATATCATTTCTCTTTCAATTTTAAAGTTATCACACTTTCACTAATGAGTACTTCATGCATTGTCTCTTTTTCTCTCAACTTTTTCTTTTTTTTAATCATACAATTTATCACCTAAATTTAGGCATGAATCGAATTGTCATTATGTTTTAACCTAGATTTGTACAAATAGATATAATTATTCTTTTGGTGTAAACTTTTGTTATGATGTATAGTTTTATTATTGGCAAAAAATAGGCGATAATTGATAATAGCCATCATAATAAATTTATGTATGAAGTACTACAAAATATTGAAATGAAAAGGTCAAGTCTTTGGTAATAGAAATATATCTTCAAATAACAATAAATATTACTATGAACATTAACACAAGTCTCTGATATAAAATTATAATGTAAAATCGTAAACCAATCATCATTATTACTCTGTAACAATAATAACTTAACATTTATTTATATCTTACAATAAGTTGTTATTGTAATTTCACCTCAATTAAGACTTTAATTTTTTTTATATTGGAGATAATATATATGACCAAGGGAGAGACTCATCATGACCTAATTCTCCATTGATGCATGATTTAGGTAGGATACTTGACCTACAATTCAATCTCCACTATTTTCATTTGAGATAAGATTAAATTGGACATGTACGTGTATTATTAGTACAGCACACTATGACATCAACGTATCTAGGAGAGAGAAGAAACATTATTAAGTCTTCAGTTGTCACTTGTCTGAATAATCAAATTAATAAATTATTAATAATTAAAGTATATTTTGAATAGAACCTATAATCTTTTTATTGAAATAATTTAGATTCATAGCTTCAAAAGTACTTTCATAATATAATGCATCCGTTTCTTTTTGTTAAGTACGTTTTTTACTTATTGTTTGTGTCATAACAAGTGATGACTACGCAAAGTATTAAAGTAAGAAGCTAATTTAATCATACGGAAACACTAATAGTATCCCTTAAGAATGTACACTTAAATCGGTAGACCTATACATATACGAAGTACTCCGTATTCATTTGTACAATGATACACTCTGTACATACTCCGTATTAAAGTTATTGTGTTGTTATCTCCCATTGTCCCACCTCTCTATCCTAAGACAAAAATAAGTTTTTTGAATAAGACCTTCAATTTATCAATTGGAGGGGTGATACATTCATACTCTTAATTTCCATCTATAGTTTATGCCACTAAGGCCCTGTTCACTTCACCTTAAAAAAATAATATTAAGTAAAAATAATTTCACTTCAATAAAAAAACAATTTCAATTCAGTAAAAATAAGTTCAGTTCAGTAACAATAATTTCAGTTCAGCAAAATTAAGTTCAGTTCAGCAAAATAATTTCAGTTGAGTAAAATTTAGTATCTTTAAAGAAGAAACATAATAGAAAATCAGTTAAATTTTTTCAGTTCAGCAAAAATAATTTCAGTTCAGCAAAAATAATTTCAGTTCAGTAAAAATAATTTAAGTTCGCCAAAAATAATTTCAGTTCAGTAAAAATAATTTAAGTTCAGTAAAAATAATTTCAGTTCAGTAAAAATAATTTCAATTTAGCAAAAATAAGGTGAAGTGAATGGAGCCTAATATACCTTACAGCCGCAAACAAAACATTTAGGCATGAAGGTTGCAATTTTTTTTTTCCTTTGAAGGATAATGAAGGTTGTAGATACATACTTTCCCCTGTTTTACATTCCAAGTAGTTGTCACGTTTTGATTTTGAACACATTCATATTGTTGGAAAATTTAGAGTGTTGATGGTTGCGCGCTCACGAACCATAAGTAGCGCCCGCGCTGGGTAAGCGCGGCCGCGCTGAGGTCGCGCCTAAACCGCAGACCTCACTGGAATCTGAAGGTTTGAAAAGAGATAGTTGGCGTGCCCGCGCGTCCAAGTGGCGCGCCCGCGCTTGGGTCGCGCCTAAACCGCGCCCCCTTCTGCCTCCCTTGGTGAATTTGGAAGTACAGGAGAGGAGCGCCCGCGCTGCTCGTCGCGCTAAAACCGCGACCTCTTCTGCCTTCCTGTGAAATTCCGCATGTTTTGGGAGGAGCGCCCGCTCCACCCGTTGGCGCGCCCGCGCCTCCTGGTGGAGCGCCCGCGCCTGTTTGTTTTCGCGAAATTCTGACGGTTATGTCTTTAATAAAAGACTTGTTTTTCAGATTCGAGAGGTACAGAATTGATTCTTATTCTCTCCCTAAGTATTCTTCACAATTCCTCACAAACTTCTTGCAAACTTTTGTGAGAAATCTCTTTCGACTAATCCTTTCTTGTGAATTGTTCATCTTTCATTGATTCTTAGTGCTAAGAACATTGGGCTGACTTTTGTATCTCAAAGAGTATTTTCGGATCAAACCCAAGCACCATTGTGAGGGAAATTAAACTCTTTAGGAATGTATTCATACGCCTAAGTCAGAGTATCAAGGATTGAGACTCAAGTGGTCACCGATTTCTCATGTTCATGTTGATTGTTAAAGCTTGGAGTAGAGGCAAGTACATTGTCTTTCACAACTAGTGTTTTTCATTGTATTTTCTGTAATTCTTTAGTATTTTTGTGTTTGGTTGTAATACATTGAATTGTATTTGGATTATTGTATAATTTATTATCAATTATACATAGTTAGGTTTTGTTCCCACAATTGCTAAAGTAGTTCTTGTTCTAGAATTACTTGAAAACCTAACACATATAAGTCACTTTGACTTTCTTTTGTGATTTAATTATCTAAACAGACTCATGTCATTCATGTGTATTTAGGACTTTTAGGTACTATAAGCGGAATTTCATGAATCATATTTATACGCACCTAAATCAGGATCACATGCATAACACACAAGAATCACATAATTATACCTTTGAAGCGTGAATTCCACGTAGCTATTCGATCAGCAAATCAGGGAGAGAATAGAGCCCCAAGTGTGACTCCTCTACTTAGTCCACGGGATTCGAACAAGCGTCCACCAATACTAGATTGGTCGAGTGAAAGGAAAAACCGCGATCACCACATTTAATGGACAACCGACTACCACGACGAACCACCACCACCGGCGCCGAGAGGGGAGGAGATCGAGCCGTGAGAGAGAGAGAGAGAGTTTGAGAGGGCTAGGTCTCGTGTTTGCTAATTAGGGTTTCAACTTAACAGTCAAATGGTTCTCTCTAAAAACCTAGGCACCTAGTCTATTTATAATCCTATTATAATTAGACTAGGTTAGGAAGCCCATAAACCCTCCAAACCATCTATATGGTCGGCCACCTAGAGTGATGAGGCCCATCATGGGCCTCGTCCTCTTAGCTTATGCCTAATCTAGGCCCTTTGTGTGACCTTATAGGATCCATCCAATTGGACTTTGGCCTATTTTACTAGTCTAAAGATCGTTAGTACCTCTAGCTATGATATAACGACGACCCAAATGAACGAACTTAATTATCTCCATAATTTGATTCATATATATCTAGTAATTACACTTGACGAAGACATTATAAATCCTTCAGTGTAATCTTATTAGATTTGTCTTAATATATATTTTTCAAATATAGTATAAACTTTTAATAATATCTTTATTGATAATTGAAGACATTAATGTAGGAAATCATGCCTTGACAAACGTGT